TGTCTCATACTGGGCACCTCCTCGAAAATCTAAAGAGGAATGTGGAGAATTTGGAAAAAATTTATATGAGAGTCATAAATATATATATATACACATACACACACAAAAAAAAGAAGTGTGAGCAAAAGTTAATATTTAGCTCCCACATAGGAGTGAGAGCATGTGAGATTTGTCTTTCTATGCTTATTTCATTTAACATAATGTTCTCCAGTTCCATCAATATAATTGTAAATGGCAGAATTTCATTCTTTTTGTGGCTATATAGTATTCCATTGTGTGTACGTATCACAGTATCCATTCATCCATTGATGGACACTTAGGTTGATTCCCTATCTTGGCTATTGTGAATGTCTACCCTATTTTAATAGCATCCCTTTCTGCCAGCATTTCCTGTGTTCTTTCTTTCCTGCCATTCTTTTTTTCCTCTAGCATTTATCACCATTTGACAAACCATATCATTTAGCTATTTATTTATTTATTATTTATCTTTCTTTTCCTAGAAAGTAAACTTTATCAGGCCAGGAACATTTTTCAGTTTTGTTTACTGCTATATTCACAGCCTGGTACACAGTAAACACTCCATAAAATTTTGTTACATGTCTGAATCAGTAGGCAGCTGGGGAAATTAGATGTTCATCTGTACCTTGAAATATTAGCAGTCTTTACAGAAAATGAGCTAGATCTTTTTTATTCACATAGTAAATGTAAACAGCAAATTGCAGGAAAAGTATGCATAGTATGATCTTAATTGTGGCAAATTCTCTTTATGAATGTACAAACATTCGTGAATCTCTGTATGTACTGTGTGGTAATTAGTACCTTTCTAGAACTGTTAACATGGAGAAATGAGGGCCAGAAGAGAGAAAGTTTTATTTTATACCATTTCGTTTTGTTTGATTTTTTTTTTTTTTTAAATCATGGAAATGTATTTCCTGTATAATAATACAAAAATTTATTTGGTCACTTCCCCTCTTGCGAGACTGCAGAGAAAGAAGTTAATGTTCATCATCTGTGGTAAAACTCAAAACTGTAAACCAGCCTTTTATTCCCTTGAATAATTTCATTGGTGTTTTGGTCTCTTCAGATGTAAAGGCTTGGATGAAGCCTTTATCTTCTGCGTATATGTGGGTTTGTGCTGCACAATATTATATATTTGATTTTATGCTTCTTGCTAAACTTAGAGTTTGCAGGACAATTGTTTTCCTTTTTTCCTCTTCATTGCCAGGAGTTCAGTATGCATCAGGTGATTGAGGAAATGCTGCTTACAAAGCAGATACATTTTTTAACGGCATCTTTTTTTTGTTCAGGTTTTACTGTTTTTCTAGAGCAGTAGTTATAAACCCAGTCAGATAGGATGTTTTTTTTTTAAAAAATAAAAATTTTGTTACGTTCTTTTTTATTATACTAAAATGAAATTTCATAAATACTACATAAATTCTTTTAAAAACCAATATAATGCCCTAATTGTAATAAAATAGAAAAGTGATTATATTAAAGATAAATGTTTCAGTATGGAGATGTTCAAGAATGGCAACATATAAAAGACATAATAAGTGAGTTGCTTACACTTATTACACATAGAATCAGTGCAAATGCTGCAGTTATTTGTGTGAACTAATATAGGTATGTTGTTCATAACTTAAATATCATGGGGAACAGATAAAATGAAAGAGTAGAGAGAGGACCAAGTGGGCCCTAGAATAATGTTAGAATATTAATGTTAGAATCAGTAATGACAAGCCAAAATAATTTGTATGTGATTAGAGAAAGAAGGAAATAATCTTAAGTAAAATAGGAGTAACATGCCATGATAAATTACAGGCTATTAAAAAATTATAGGCTATTAATGTAGAGAAAATGAAGAAGTATTATGTTCTTGTAAAGTAGACCCTATTTTTAAGTATAATGTCAAAATATTTTCCTTGTTATGACAGAACTGAGTAATGAAAAATGTCACAGAAAACATACCTTCCATCTTGAAATTCCATCATGTATAAGGCATACTTTTCATCAGTATATGCTTAAAATATCATGAAGACCATATCCTTGGTAGGTGATGGAAATTGAGGATAGATTGGAGAAAGAAATGGTAATACAAGCTGCTATAGAGAAGTTGTATAGTTGTGTGGTAAACCTCTGAAGACAGAATCAAAATGAGAATGAAAAATAACAGGTAAAAAACCAATGGTTTGGTATTGATTTTTGCCACGAAAAATTTTTTAGTCATGTTGTACCCAAGTATTAAAAATATACAGAAGCAATAATAGGAGATATTAAAACAACCTTTGTTAATAATACTCAGTAAAATCTCTACATTTCATGTGTATCTACTAATTTACCAGGATTCGATTAGGAAGTCTGTTGAAGAGTATGAAATAGGCTCTAAAAATGTATAAAGGACAGCTCCAAATGCTGAATGACACATATGTGTTACATTAGATTCAAATGACACAGGTTGTATTGCTGTCAAGTGATTTTTCCCTAATGGTGAATAATTTCTGTTAAAAAAATTTTTTTTAACTTTTAAAAAATTTTTTTTGTAGAGACAGGGTCTTGCTGTGTTGCCCAGGCTTGTCTCAAACTCCTAGGCTCAGGCGATCCTCCTGCCTCAGCCTCTCAAATGCTAGGATTACAGGTGTGAGCCACCATACCCCGCCTAATTTCTGTTAAACTTCTAAAGAAAACTGGCTGGATGCGGTGGCTCACGCCTGTAAACCTAGCACTCTGGGAGGCAGAGGCTGGAGGACTGCTTAAGGTCAGAAGTTCAAGACCAGCCTCAGCAAGAACAAGACCCCATCTCTACTAAAAATAGAAAAAATTAGCTGGGCGTCGTGGCACGCCTTGTAGTCCCAGCTATTCAGGAGGCTGAGGTGACAGAGCGAGAGACTCTAAAAAAAAAAAAAAATTCTAAAGAAACCTAAATATAATATTTTTGGAAAATTCATTGTAGACCAAAAACCATAACAGAATACTTTGTGTTCATTTGTAAAGCAGAATTACTGGTTTTTTCACTCATGGGCATCTAATAGGATAATAGAAAGTTATGTGTGATGTGGGATGTGGGATAGTTTCTTTTTGAGTGGGATTGTCTAGCATATCGCATGATTTCTGGTATCCGTTAAATGTCAGTAATGGCACCCAATTTTTGAAATGATCCCTCCTAAAAAAACCTTCCCTAAACATTGAGAACTATTGTTTTAAGATATTCTTTCTCCAAATTTAATTGATATTTGATTCTTTGTTTTTTCTTCTCCATGTAACAGTTTTTCTCCTACAGAAATAAGTGTTTATGGAATATTCTTTGGGGAATGCTGTTCTGGAGAGGTCTTTTTATCTGTTTCCTAATACCTTAAGTCCTACATTTTACTCTGTTGTATCTTTCTAGTATTTTCTAAAACTGTTCAGGAACAAGTAGGTATAAATCCTAAGGACTTACATTTAGAAGTGTTTGTATAATTAAAATGTGTGAAATTTATTTATTAATTTTGACACTCTTAGGTTGGATCCTTGGAACAAGCTATGCTTGATGCTCTTGTAATGGATAGAGTTGCCTTTGTAAAACTTCTTATTGAAAATGGAGTAAGCATGCATAAATTCCTTACCATTCCAAGACTGGAAGAACTTTACAACACTGTAAGTGTATGTTAAAATTCTTTGTTGACTAAGTTTTATCATCCTTGGGAAATATTATTTTACCTGAACATACCCATTACTATTGATAAAGTCTTTAATGTCTTGCTTGGTTATATGGAAAAATTATAGCCAATCTTACTATGTATTGATTGTGTGACAGTATAAGACCCTTCCCTGTTTTTGGAGCCCTTCCCTGTCACCATAGTCACATAGGAAAGAGACATAGACTTTATGGTTCTATCTCTCTTGCCCTCTCCTCACTCTTTCTTTTTTAACACTATAGGATCAACTTCTTAGTTATAGGGTAATTAGGTTCTTTTTGACTCCTTTGTCTAATAATGGAGGAATTATACATTGCCTTTTCCTCCGCTTTGTTTATTATATTCATGGTCTTGACCTCATGATATACCCGTTTTAGCTTACATACTGTTTTTCATTTTTCTTGTAAAGAACTACTGAAAACTTCTTATTCCCATCACAAAGGCTTTTTCATTTCATTTCAAATTTCATGTCACTAGATTGCAGAGATAAAATACTACCCTTCTTAGTGTTTTTCTGTGTTACCAGTATGAATTTAATTGAGCTATACTTTGAGGAACATTATGACCAGACAAAATCCCAGCTTTCTAACTTTGACTTTTCTGCAAAGCTGTGTCCATTCATTCATCAGTTTCTACTTATCTTCTTTTTATTCCTAATGTTTTTGTGCTACTCAGTCGTTTCTACTTCAGTAATCTAATTTCCTTGTCCATAGTTTTCTTCTCAGATCAGTTTTTTAAACTAATTATTTTTGTAATGACATATTTTACTATGTTTTTCCCCAGTTCAAAATCCTTTGATGGCTTTCCAATGTATATCTAATAGTACCCAAACCCTTGGCTTGATTTTCAAAGATCTTCACATATTGCCCCAGCTATCTCTCTCAGTTGGCCTTTTTATCCACCACTCCCAATACTAAGTGTTTCAACTATAATGTCTATCTACTACTAAAAATATAAATCTTTTTAAAAAAGCATTTGCTGTTTACACAGTGCTGGTGTGATTTGCTTCCAACTATTCCTCATTTAGTGAAATTATTCATTGTTTAGAACTTAGCCCAAATGCCATGCCACTGCTTCCATGAAGCCTGGTGGCATAGGTAAGTACAATTATATCTTCTTTGTGGATTGTAAGTTTCTTTTGGCTAGGTATTATATCTTATTTTCCCCCCTTTTTGTCTTTTAATAGTGCCTAGCACAGTTACATTGAACTTTGTTGGCATTCTGTCTCTAGTGAACAGACATAAAAATTAAAAAGATTATTCATTGTACTGAAGTAAGGTTTATCCCTGAAATATAAAGCAAATATAAAACAACAAAAATAAAAATTGACCCATTAGCAAAGCAAGTAATTTTTTTAATTGTATAACTCAAAGTTGTTGAGATAATACTGTACTTACCTTCAACATCAATTATTGAAAAAGTTTTAAATAATTTAAGGGCTTACAACATGATAGAACAAAAACTTATACACTCTGAAATTATTTATCTTTTTGACAGTAAACGTGACAATCCTTTTCTTGTTGTTCCACTTTATGAACAGAACCTAAGGAAATAACTCCAAGACAGTATAATTTGTATATAAAAGTTCGTAAAAGTCCTGTAAGTCTGTGGTTCCCAACCTCGCAGCAACACACCAGTACTGGTCCATTGCTCGTTAGGAACCAGGCCGCACGGCAGGAGATGAGCAGGAGGGGAGCCAGGGAAGCTTCATCTGTATTTATAGCCACTCCCCATCACCACATAAGTTCTGCCTCCTGTCGGATCAGCAGTGACATTAGATTCTCAAGGGGGTTGGAGCCCTACTGGAAACTGCATGTGCGAGGTATCTAGGTTGCGTGCTCCTTAGGAGAATTTAATGCCTGATGATCTGAGGTGCAGCTGAGGTGGTGATGCTAGTGCTGGGGAGCGGCTGCAAATACAGATTATCATTAGCAGAGAGGTTTGACTGTACAATAAATGTAATGTGCTTGAATCATCCTGAAACCATCCCCGCACTCTGTCCGTGGAAAAATTGTCTCCCGTGAAACTGGTCCCTGATGCCAAAAAGGTTGGGGACTACTGCTGTAAGTTACAAAACAGGAAATTGTCTAAGTTATGCTGTTATTTATTTATTTAATGCTCAATATTCTCTGTTAAAATAAGTTAGTTTAGAAGAAAAATAAAAATTTGCCCTACTTTTTTTCCCCCCCAAAGAAACAAGGTCCAACTAATCCAATGCTGTTTCATCTTGTTCGAGATGTCAAACAGGTAAGAGATTATTTTTGTTTTTGTAAAAGGGCATTATTAAGAAGTCATTTCTACTTCATCTGTTTCCAAAAAAAGCATATAAATACATTTAAAAAACAGCAATAAAATGGCAGTTTTTAAAACAAGATAAAAAAGGGCTCAATATGTGGTAAGAGAAGTAAAGAGCATAATGTACAGAAATCAAGAAAAAGGAAAGGTTATGAAATTAAGGCCAAGTTTCCTGAACTTCTAGTCATCCAAGATAGAATGTAATGCATTTTTAAAGCTCACCGGTCCATAAAGGGAAGATCATTGATAGAATGTGTTTTCATTCTCTGTGTTCTGCAGAAATTTGTTCCAGTGTAAAAGATGTTGAATAAGGAAATTGAGGGAAACACTGGGTGGTGATCTTAATGGCAGACTTTGCCAGTAAAAATGCTGAAGTGCTCTCTCCCCTGAACTTCTTTTTTTTTTTTTTTTTTTTTGAGACAGAGTCTCACTGTGTCTCCCGGGCTAGAGTGCTGTGGGGTCAGCCTAGCTCACAGCAAGGTCAAACTCCTGGACTCAAGTGATCCTCCTGCCTCAGCCTCCCAAGTAGCTGGGAGTAGTTCACTCCACCATGCCCAACTAATTTTTTTCAATTTTTTTTTTTAGTAGAGAGCAGGTCTTTCTCTTGCTCAGGCTGGTCTCGAATTCCTGAGCTCAAGTGATCCTCCCACCTCAGCCTCCCAGAGTGCGAGGATTACAGGCATGAGCCACCGCACCTGGCCTTTCTCTCTCACCTTTTAAAAATACCTAGCATTGGTAATGACACTGTCATATGATGTGAAGCTATTCTTTGGTGACTAAATTGATGCACTCTTATTCCTATTCTCTCCTGTTGGGTTTCTTTGGGAATTAATAGTTTTAAACATTTATCAACAATTTATAGCCATTTAAATTATTGGTATCTGATAGTTTTATTTTCCTTGATGTAATGGTACCTGTATTTGATTAATTAAAATATTTTCTAAGTATCAGCTTAAAATGCTTTCTGTTTAGAGTTCTTTATTTGAACTTTTACTTGGTACTAAATGTGAGTGCACTATTAAAAACTTAAAAGAGAAAAATGTCATTTTCTGTTTTCTTTTTTTTCTTTCGTGAGTTCCCCAAGAGCTGGAATGTTTTCATTTTCTGCATTTGTATTTTGTTATTTAATACTAAACTAGAAACCTTGAGTTATCGGGAGACTTCTTGACCAAAAGTTTCGCAGATTCATTTGCATTAATTATGGTTTACTTATATGGGTCAGCAGAAAGAATTATGGTAGTTAATTCTGGAAACAAATATGAGGGTTTGTATATATGGACTGTTGTTACATTGGTGGCTATAATAATAAGCCCAATTTTTTCATTTCCGTAAGTGATAAATCCTGAAATAAAGATAGTAATTGAATATTTTCTGATTCATATTAATAACTTGAGTTTTGTAAGAGTTCTCAATGTAGTTTGAGAAATAGGTCACTATGACATTTTAGATAATTCACATTGTTTTCCTTAATTTAAATATTTCTCATTCAAATAGACTTCTGTTAGAATGGCATTTGTCAGGTTTTTAAAAAATTATATTGGAGAATGTCATAGATGACTTTCTCAATTTTGAGGTCGCTTGAGTTAAAATAAAATGAAAACCATTTATTTAAGATGGAAATATATATTTTGATTAATTTTCAAACTAGAGATTCAAAGACTGTAGCTGTCTAGAAATTAGAAATTTTGCAGATGAAACAAATATTAAAAATATAAATATTTAAGAAAATACTACGTTCATGAAATTATAATCAGGAAAATGGAAAGAATGGTGATGGTAGGAGGACAGAATTAGTTAACAGATATAAATGATCTGATGGTTAACCCCTTTAAGATTATTTAATAAAATTAACGAGTTCTTAAATTCTGAAACAGGCAGTCTTTCAAAACTCATAAATGGCTTATGTTCCAAAAGTTCATTTGTAAATTGTTGCCCTTGGAAAATGAAGTCTAAAGTTTTAAAACAGAGGTCCCCAAGAACTGAGGCACACGGCAGGAGGCGAGTGAAGCCCCACCTGCCCCGACAGCCGCTCCTCATCAGATCAGAGCGGCATCAGACCTTGATAGGGAACTCCACTGCATACTGCACCTGAGGGTTCCAGGTTGCATGTTCTCCATGAGAATCCAATGCCTGATGATCTCAGGTGGAGCTGAGGTGGCGGCACTTCCACTCCCGTGCCCTGCTCCGAAAAACTGTCTTCCACGAAGCCGGTCCCTGGTGTCAAAAAGGTTGGGGACCGGTGCTTTAAGCGATAATACAAGTGTTAGTTAAGTCCTAGAGAAAACTATAAAAACTTGTGTAACCTATAATATAGCCAGTACAATTTTGGTTAAAAAATACATATGTATTTATGTGCCAATCTGGAAAAATAATTTAGCAGTTATGGCATTATTTTTGTAGGAAAATGTATTTTGTGATATGTACCACAATGAAAATGAAATAGTTGGCTTTTTAGCAGTTCTGTTGCCTCCAGGTGTGAAGTATTAGGGCAGTGGAGAGATCAAATTATCTTCCTGCTTTAGGCTGTACTCCTGTCCCAAGCCACACCTTTGAGACCTCAAAATTTCAGAATCCCCTCTTCTTACCAAAGGAAATGGAGAAACAAGTCAATCCCTTCTGTAAAGATAGCAGCTGCAACCCTCACTTCTTATATAACAAACATTTGTCATTTTGGAGAGTAGGCTTTTCCTAGGCATGGCATGACAATATTGAGAAATACTGTCCTATCTATTTAAAACTAATGTTTTGTTTCCAGGGAAATCTTCCTCCAGGATATAAGATCACTCTAATCGATATAGGACTTGTTATTGAATATCTCATGGGAGGAACCTACAGATGCACCTACACTAGGAAACGTTTTCGATTAATATATAATAGTCTTGGTGGAAATAATCGGGTATGTAGAATTTGGGGGGAAGTCTGTATATGTGCTTTTAAGTTAACTCATGCACTTTAAACAAATAAGAATTAGTTACATAGAAGGGTGAAAGTAACATTGTCTTAAAATACGAGATTTTCAACTACTAGTAATTAGAAATATTTTGTAATCAAAATTGTAAACCAGTCATACTTTGTGTGTGTGAATACACAAACACATTTGCATGCATATATAAGTTGATTTTTGAGTATTTATAAAATGTCAGCATATTTAAATGTGTAAAAGCTAATAGGATCTCATTTTCAGAGATCTGGACGAAACACCTCCAGCAGCACTCCACAGTTGCGAAAGAGTCATGAATCTTTTGGCAATAGGGCAGATAAAAAGGAAAAAATGAGACATAATCATTTCATTAAAACAGCACAGCCCTACCGACCAAAGGTATGTTTATTTAAATATTATCCTTTCTGGATTTTTATTTTATTCTTTCTAATTAGTGTTATTAAACAAAAAATACTTGTTTTAGTAAGAATTATTTTTTTGTTTTTATATATATTATATCTTGGACTCTTCATTTTCCTATATATAGAAATATTCATTGTAAGTTAATGATTCTATTAAGTTTTTCATATTTAGTTATGATAACTGAATTTGTGAAATGTTTTGATAAATGTTTAACTGACTCCTTTTATTCCATTTTTACTTAAGAACATCATGACAAACTATTACTTTATTAAAATTGCATTCTATCAGATATTATTTGAAATATTAATATTTAAGCCCTTTCCTTAATATTGGAAAACTGACAGTTTTGTTGAAATGGCATTTTTATAAAATGAATTATGAGTGGTAATAAAAATCATGTTTGCATGTTTATACTGTTATGTGCAGTTATATGAAGTTAAAGAATAGTGTAAAGGATATTTTATAAAAATTTTCGCTAACAATGTTATACGGCCTTATTGTTTGTAATGAGCCTTATGACATTTATTTTCCCCTGAAGATTGATACAGCTATGGAAGAAGGAAAGAAGAAGAGAACCAAAGATGAAATTGTGGATATTGATGATCCAGAAACCAAGCGCTTTCCTTATCCACTTAATGAACTGTTAATTTGGGCTTGCCTTATGAAGAGGCAGGTCATGGCCCGTTTTTTATGGCAGCATGGTGAAGAATCAATGGCTAAAGCATTAGTTGCCTGTAAAATCTATCGTTCAATGGCATATGAAGCAAAGCAGAGTGACTTGGTAGATGATACTTCAGAAGAACTGAAGCAATATTCCAAGTAAGTGATATTTTATCATTTGAAAACATTTTGAAAATGTAAAATAGTGTTTGATTAGGTGTTATAGTGCCATGCACTTAATGGGGATGTAGATGTATAATTTTATTGGTACAATTAAGAGAAAATTATTTTTAAAATATATTACGTATTTTTAAGAACTCAGAAAGAAACTTTTCTGCCTATGTATGTGAAAGAGGTTATTACTATATTTGCAATTCAAGAGTTAAGTATTTCAGCACGAAAGAAGTGCCAGAAATCATCTTAATAATTGCACAGAGTAGCAATTAGATGAGGAAAAATTTCATTTGCTAATGAAATTTTTGGAGCCCTGTGATTACTTAGTGGGGATTCAAGATTCAGATGTTTCTCATGATTAGGTTAGTCCCTAGATACATTGTTCTTCTCTACCAGGTAACAACCCTTTCCTATGTTTGAAATACTATATAGAGACTTTTTTGAACAGAGTGCTGAACATTGTCAATTTTGGTTCCTTGTGAGATTATAGTTGTATTTCTAGTTTTATTTCTAGGAGAAAGTGGTCTGGATTCACCTTTTCAGTCTTGTGCTTAATGTGACATATTTTAATATTTTATGCTATCCACGTGAGTTTAGATGTCTGAAAACAAGAGTTACTGTGACTCTAATGCCTCAAATTCCATGAGTGTGAAAATATTAAAAACTGGAAAGTATTATAAATGAATTTAAGAATAGTGGTTTAAAACTGCAAGTTGTTAATCTGAATATATTTTGGCTTTTATCTTTTTATAGTGATTTTGGTCAATTGGCAGTTGAATTACTAGAACAATCCTTCAGACAAGATGAAACCATGGCTATGAAATTGCTCACTTATGAACTGAAAAACTGGAGTAATTCAACCTGCCTTAAGTTGGCAGTTTCTTCAAGACTTAGACCTTTTGTAGCCCACACCTGTACACAAATGTTATTATCTGATATGTGGATGGGAAGGCTAAATATGAGGAAAAATTCCTGGTACAAGGTATATCTTAGAAATAATTTGATATAAAGTGTGTGATTAGATAAAGAGAACAGAGGAATTAGTCTAGAATCTAGATGTCTAGTAAAATGCCGTGATTTGTGAAAGTGATGGGGAGATTGGGCAGGAGGAGAAGGGGTGATTGGCATTACATTCCAAGTGACATAATGGGCTCCTTTTTCCTTCTGTTCTTTACTCTCGAATTTTTTTTCAGGTGTGTATAATGATTGTTGCCCTCTCTGAACCAGAAGTATGAGGGCAACAAATGGGAAATATTGTAGATTGCAGCCCTGAGCAGCCATGAAAAAAAGTTACTGCTTTATGAAAGGGTGATTCCCAAATTTTAAAATTCAAGACCTATATACTAATTTAATAATCTGTTACTTTTAAGTTACTTGAAGTATATTGGATGAGTATATCCATATACCCAGTTTATACTTATGGATAAGCATATCCATATGCCCAATTTTTATTGTTAAGAATTTGGGTAATATGGCTGGTACTTTCATTGTTGTCATAGCGATAGATACTGCTTTAAACTTCCCTTTTCATTCTCTTATATATCTTTTTAAATAAGGTACAGAAATGTAGAAGGCAGAAATCAGGCAAGTAGTTTAACTATAAGCCATTGTAAGAGATGACAAATACTAATGATCTACTAAAAATAATGGTGAGAGAATAACCAACAGAAACCCTGTTGCACAATTATAATTTCTTTATGCTTCAGAATTTTGCAAGTAATATGTACAATTTTAGAAATAAACCTTTTTGTTTATAGTGGCACGAGCTGAGTAATCATGTTATGACATGGAAGAATTGCAGAGAGATTTAGGATAAAATTAAGCACACAGCACCTTTATAAGGCTTGGATTTTGTTTAAACAAAAATGTATTTTCTGAACAAATTGTAATCTGATTTTGTTTGAAGTACAAATCTATAATAATTATTCAGTCTGTTCTACACTTTTATTATCATAATAGTCAAATGTTTTGTTACTTTTTAAAACAATCCAACCTGGGCCTCTTTAAGTACAATATGTAAGTAAAAAATGAATCTTTTATTTTTCCCCTATGCTGTTAAGGGCCAAATGGCTAACTAATAATCATAAGTTATTTAATATCTTTTTATTGTTTTTATTATATTCCTAAAGGTCATTAATTTATAATGCAAACATATTTTTCTAAACACTTCAGGTCATACTAAGCATTTTAGTTCCACCTGCGATATTAATGCTAGAATATAAAACCAAGGCTGAAATGTCACATATCCCGCAATCTCAAGATGCTCATCAGATGACAATGGAAGATAGTGAAAACAACTTTCAAAACATAACAGAAGAGATCCCCATGGTAAGGAGAAAAAAATTTAAAGTAAATATAAATTTGTTGTGAATAAGTGTACAGTAAAAATATTTTTTTTATTTCAGGAAGTGTTTAAAGAAGTAAGGATTTTGGACAATAATGAAGGAAAGAGTGAAATGGAGATACAAATAAAATCAAAAAAGCTTCCAATCACACGAAAGTTCTATGCCTTTTATCATGCACCAATTGTAAAGTTCTGGTTTAACACGGTATGTTTTTAAATTTGCATGAGTATGATGTTTTTAAAAGACAGGTTTTAGGAAACCTTTGATCTAGAGTCCATAATAATCTTGATATAACTTAGATCACTGAAAAGGCATTTCACATTTTAAAAGAGCACTAAATTTCCTTTGTTTCATCCAAATTGCTGACATCTAGAATGATAAACTCTAACAAATTTTAGTTCTAATTAGAACTAAAAATTTACTTACCAATTATGTGGTAACCAAAAGCCTTTGTGAGTAACATATGAATCATCTAGTAAAAATAATGGTGAAAGATTAAGCAAAAGAACCTGATATGCAATTAATATAATTTCTTTGTGCCTTAGGGTTTTGCAGATAGAAGTCTAGAAATAAACCTGTTTGCAGTGTTGTAGGTTTTTTGTTTGTTTCTTTGTTTTTTTTAATTTTTTGGGGACAGAGTCTTGCTCTGTTACCAGGGCTAGACCACAGCCTCAAACTCCTGAGCTCAAGGGATCTTCCTGCATCCGCTTCCAGAGCATAGTAGCTGGGACTGTAGGTGCCTGCTACTGTGCCTGGCTAATTTTTTTTTTAATCAGTTTTGCTATGTTGCTTAGGCTGGTCTTGAGCTCCAGGCCTCAGGTGACCCCTGCCCCTCAAAGTGCTAGGATTACAGACGTGAACCACCATGCCCAGCAGTTCGCAGTGTTAATTGAAGATGATAACGAGTAATCCAGATCATTCATATGGTTTTATTTGTCTGTGGCTTATTTCTTAATCATATTAGATTGTATGCTTGATTACCTGCCATATAATTGGCTTTTCTCTTGCTTTATGGAAAAATGGATTTTACTAGCAGATTAAAGAGCATATGGCCATAGATGGATGGACTCACCTTATTTTCACTGAATGTAGTTATTCATCTGTTATTTTGGTGGTTTCTGTTGGGGGATGACCTCTAGGAACTTCCAGTAGGCTATCTTGCTGATATCGCTGTCCTTCACCTGAAGAAACACATGAGATTATCCCCTGCTTTTAACCATGGGCTTTGTGAATGAGTTCTTAGTCCCCTTCCCAAGAAAACCCTTAAGGTATTTTTGTTTATTTATTTATTTTTATCATTTTCCTCAATATCAGATATTTTTTGAATTGCTAAAATATACAAATGGCTTTGTGCTAAGATGAACATTGGAGAATGTGTTCCTCCAACCATTGCTTTCTCACCCACACATGACTGTTAACCCGTGACTAAATTTATTATGTTTCCTTACTTCTCAGTGTGAAAAATTTTCTTGTTCCTCCCTGTTTAGATGTTGTTATTGCAAATCTCAATTATATGATCTAATCTTCAAATTCTGTCCTACAAATGGAAATAGTGTAGGTTTCTTATATTTGCATTAATCTGAACGACTACTTTAAAACAGCCATCACAGGTAGCTAAAGGAATTTTTCTCTTCTTTCTTTATTGCAGTTTACTTCCCTAGGCTGCTGTAGCTCAAATCAAGGATGTGACTTGTTCTAGGACTGGTAGAGGCAAGGAGAGAGATGAGAGGATTCTTAGCCATAATTTTTCAAAGGACAATGAGTGTAGGTTTTTCTCTGAAATGAAATGAATCTTCACGTTATTATGCATAGACCTTATCACTTACCTGTAACTTTTTTTTTGTAAAGAGTATCAAAGGTGGGCTGTTCCCTTACCTAGGACAAAACTTCTTCACATCTGTTTCCATTTCTTGGGATTCAACTTCACTGACTGGGAGCTAGGAAAATACCAGTTCTCTTAGGAATACTATTTGGCTGGGAGAGGAAGGAAGCAAGAAGTATGTGATTCTGATGGTGAATGTCTGCAGTAACTTTAATGCATTAAGATACTTTAGGTATAGTATATGTTGAACGCATTGTATGGACCATGCTAAGAACATAAATCTGTTTATAAAATTGTTTCTGTGGGAAGTTCTCAAAGGTTGACAAAGTTCTAAAACATTTTTACTCTGGGGACTATACTTTGACAAATGCAGTATTTGCACTGAAGAAGAGACATCTAAACTATTTTGATGATTGAACCTGGGGGATAATTCACGAATGTTCATTTAATGTTTATTTTTGTGTATGCTTAAATGTACATAATAAAAAGTTTTAAAACTAATTTTATTTATATAACTTTCATTAATTTTTTTATTAGTTGGCATATTTAGGATTTCTGATGCTTTATACATTTGTGGTTCTTGTACAAATGGAACGGTTACCTTCAGTTCAAGAATGGATTGTTATTGCTTATATTTTTACCTATGCCATTGAGAAAGTCCGTGAGGTATGTCTTTAATTTTTCCTACGGGTAACTTACTGCGTACGTGGAAGATTTTTTGTTTTGTTTTGGGTGTGTATGTGGCTGTGTGTGTGCATCATTCGTAATTTCAGTGGGTGACTGAGTGACAACATTATAGAAGTGTAGAAAATGTTTATTTCTGCTATTCTAAAAATAATGGCACAAGAATAGAAATCAGTGAGTATGCTGTTTACTTTTTGGCCATTACAAATATAATGATTTGTTTCAGAAACATAGCCTAGATTTTTAAAATTTCCTCAACGTTCATATTTATGCTCTCAGCCACTCTTCAAAAAGTATTAATATAAAACCAGCAATTGGGTAGGTAAATTATAAAAAGATATTTATTTTGCTCGTATATTGTACTGCCCACTAAAATGTGCTGTATTACCCACTGAATTGCCGTTTAGATTTATATCCCTGGTCTTAAAGTACTCAGCTTAAATTACAAATTTTCTAACACCTTGATTTTGAAGAAAAAAATATTTTTTCCTTAGATAAATAATACACGTGCATAAATACTTCTGAATTACTTCATGTCTCTGCTTTACATTTATAGAATACAGGAAATTGCAAAAATAATTAGAAAGCATTTTACTTCTTTCCCACTTAGATATCATAAAAATTTATCTTATTAAATAGCTTATTATGCATTTGAAATCCCTCTGAGTGCTGTGGTCTATATGTTTATGAAATCTGTTGTTTTACCAACATATTTGAAAAAATTAATTTGTTAAATGATAAAGGCAAGTTGCAAAGCATTTTTAAAACAACGTATTCATAACAGTTCTGCAAGGATTTATGAGATAGTAATAATAGTGGTTGCCTCTAATAGGAAGGGTAATTAATTGGCTAAGGGCGAAGAGCAAAAGAGAGACTTTTTTTTTTTTATTTCATGTTTAGGTTATGTATGTTGCCCTTAAAAGAGAGACTTTTCAGTATTTATGATACACTATGATTTTTGAAGCTGTGAATGTATTACCATTCCTCCCAAAAGATATTTCTAAAAATTCTTGTATTCAAGAGAAGAGGTATAGGTTTTAAATAAGTTAAATAAATACAGCTACTTAAACCCCTGAGTTATTTACTTTCTGTGAAGAAGGCATCTTTGGAACATACTACCAGATGTCCAGGTGTTGCTTCAGCTGAAACTAAAACATTTTTCAAAAGTATTTTACTTTCCAGGTAGAGAACTGTGTTGTAATCTAAAATTTCAGCTTTTTAGTTGGATGGTCTTGTTTGGGCAGGCCATTTATTTATAAGAAACATCTATCTCTGCTATCTTACTGTTTTGGTGATGAAATGCATCTTCAAATGACAAGATAATAGATTAGAAGCATTTTGAAACATTAAAAGATATCTAAATTTTGTGATATAATTGAATACTGTGTATGTTTTAGTAGGAAGAAATGGAAGAAATTGATAAAACCTTTTTTTGTTCTTGTTAAACCTTTAGATCTTTATGTCTGAAGCTGGAAAAATAAACCAGAAGATTAAAGTGTGGTTTAGTGATTACTTCAATATCAGCGATACAATTGCCATAATTTCTTTCTTCATTGGATTTGGACTAAGATTTGGAGCAAAATGGAACTTTGAAAATGCATATGCTAATCATGTTTTTGTGGCTGGAAGATTAATTTACTGTCTTAACATAATATTTTGGTATGTGCGTTTGCTAGATTTTCTAGCTGTAAATCAACAGGCAGGACCTTATGTAATGATGATTGGAAAAATGGTAAGTTGACAGATGTCTGGTAATACTCATGGGCTTATTGATAATTTTTTTCTTAAAAATCATAAAAATGTATTTTTAACATAGTTTTAGTTGAACAAATGAATGTGTGTTATTTCATGTTTATTTTTCTCATATTCCAGACTACTAATCCTTAAGGATATTTTATTAGCTTTTGAAGAAAAACATTTGATGGGATAAAGTTATGGAAATCATATTTGTTAATTTGTGTTATCTTGAAATGCTTTAATTTTTAAATGCCACTTACTAGTATTTGGCATCAGAATAAAAAATGCAAACTTGACAGCTCCAATTTTGTATATTTCCATTCATACTGCTACTATCCTAAACCAATCCACCATTATCTGACGCCTATAGTAGTCTAGTAATCTGTTTCCTCAGAACCACTCTGACCTATCTTCAATCTGTATTATAGCTAGAGTGATTATCTGAAAATGCAAATCCGAACATGTCACTTCTCTGCCTTAAAACATTTTTTTAGTGGTTTTTGCTTTGCTCCAACAGATTAGTGTACTTAATTAAACCCACAGGCCCTGGCCGGTTTGGCTGTTGCTTTCTCTCCTCTCCTCTCCTCTCCTCTC